TGGCCACATAATTTCGTCGCCACGTCAACACGGTTACCTATTTCCTGCAGAAGAACGATGTCAGGTGGACGCTGCTCCAATCGCGCAGCAAATGCAATCTTTTTACGGACGAGAGGCCTGCAATGTTAAGCCGCCAAATATTGATGAAGCCATCCTCCTCGGGCCAGGGTTCTTGCGAACGTCACCGCCACGGGTGATATCAACGGAGTGACCGCTGCGAAACGGTCGTGCAGTTCTGACCGACAGTCTGCAGGCAGACCGCCCCACCTCCCCGCACCGGGCATGGCGTGGAACCTTCTCGGGAGTGAAGTCGCCTTGGTCTCCGTCGTGCTCGCAGCAAAGCCCTGCTGCGGAGTTCCTATACGCAAACAAAGCCCAGCACCGCGACAAGGCGCAACATCATCGCTGGGGACCGTGGGTAATTACGAAGAATAGCGGTGTTGGCATTCCCAATTCAGCCGGGATTGGCATACTGCTCTCATCCCTGCATTCCTCGGAAATAATACAGAAGGTCAGTACCAACGGCGGCGCACGCCCATGCAGCCGCACGACGGAGTCCCACGCACTGCTCCCGGCCATGGAAAGGCTGAGTGACCATCGTATCCAGCACAGACACAAAAACCCTGCTTGTGGTTACAGACAGTCATTCCCTTCTAGCCGCCGTCACCAACGGCCCACACAGTCATACCGACTGGACGGAGGATCGGATCTGGCAGCGTCTCTTGTCGCTGATGCGTGCTGGCTGGTCAGTGCAGCTGCAGTTTTGCTACGAACATCGCGGAGTACACGTTAACGAGCCTGCAGATCATGCGACGCAGACCACGGCAACCGGGCAACACACGGAACATGGAATAGCACCCATACGGCACACGGACCTGCTGACATGCATTAACACCCAGCTCACCAACAAGTGGCGTAGTACCATGCATCAGGACACCCACCACTACCTGCTTGGCGGCGCCAGGCCATCAGATCCAGGCGGCAAGCACCTGATCACTCAGGAAGCCCTCGACCAACAGGAACGGATACACACTGCACGGGAAGGGTGCGGGGAATCCGAGCTCTGGGGTCGCCTGTACTGGACTGTGAGAGACTGCACGAACCAACGCCGTTTCCGCAACATCTCACCGGAACAGTCTGCTCTCATGCGCTCCAACGACGATCCCACCGCACCGGGACGGAAGCTGTTCCCCCGACGACAAGGGAGGCCGACGCACCGCCTGTGGAGAGACAGCCCTCCACACGCCGTCGGAAGAAGAAATGCCCGCACTGTGACGCCACACTGGTGGGACACACGAACCACATCGGTCACTGTCGGTGCTTTCATCCGGAACGCCCTCCACCGCTTCCCGACCTCCACCGCGATTGCTGCGACACGGTCCTCCCCACACAAAAAAAGGCACCGCACAGCACAGAAATCGCCGCTCACAGAACCCAGACGCTGATCGACACCGCAGCAGCAGTGCCAGGAGGCAATCACTGCTACCGCAGGATCAGCCAGCCTCCACAAGCGCAACAATTAGCCCGCAGAAAACACTGCGCCATCTGCTTCCGGAATGTACAGACGCTCTGGCTGTGCGCCAACGGCTGGGCATCAAGAAGGACCTTCGCACCGAAAGCTTCTCCCAATGGCAGCTGCCTCACAGCAGAAAACTCATGTCGCTGCTCGACCATCCCCTCGGCACCCTGATGACATCGTGTGGCTAGACATGTCGGTAAGAGCAGGGAAAAATAATAATAATGAGCATTCCCGCCACTATACAGACGTGGTGCATCTTGCGATCCCGCTGGCGGCTCTCCTCTTCCACCGCTGTTTTTGCGCAAGAGGTCACCACAGTCATTTTTGTGGTTTGGTCGGCCTCGTGTTGTG